GAGGAATGGGAGTGGGAGTGGTGGAGGTGTGTCAGGGGACACCCAGTTATCTGGCCCCCCTTTACTCTAAGCGATATCAGTGAGGTAATCATTAGCCGAGATTGCGTGAGATAATTACATAGTTAGAATGCAGATATAACTCATTGCGCTATATTCGCTATCACGTCACCCCTTACCCGATATTCCCTCATTTCCCACATCTTCTATCTTCCTATTTGATGTTGTGCTTCTATTGGTTACCATCTTCCCAATGTAACTGCACTCTCATGAGTTAGCAGAACTCATGTACATAAGGCTACTATGCCAGCTGGGCTAGCCCCCCAGCTTTGATATCAACTAGTTTCCTGGGGATACTCTTACGCTGCGAATAGACGCACGGACTCTGACAAGGTGGAAGAGGGAGAAGTTAGCTGCTGATCAGATCAGCACTTCTTCCGGCCTTGATGACAATGACAACATTTGGACATCACCAACACATCAGAAGATGGTGTTAGAATGGGGCAAGGGCTGACAATTCCGGAGTGGAACCGGAGACTTAGCAAGGAGGGACCTTGGCCTCAGCAACTCAAGGGGAGCGCTGTGCCATTGCTGTTTGTCCATTTGGTCCTCAATTTCAGAAGCAATGAGTGAGAAGTCTCTAGGGGGCATTTCTAGTCAATTTTAGACTGAGGGCCTAATCAAGTATGTACAAGTGCCTGTATATAATGGGGGGATGAAAGCACAAGGAAATCAAAGGGGGTCCGAATCGGAACAAAGGCATCCAAATGGAGACAAAGGGAGTTATGGCAGTGGAGCAGTACTGAAGGTCATGAGTTAGACTCTATGGTACATTCGAAAGGAGGTAGGGAGGGTGAAGCCCAGAGGGGCAGGAGGATGAGGTGAAGTGGGGTTGATGACTAACTGGCTACATGGAAGGAAGCAGTAGTCCAAATAGGGATGAGGGGAAAGTGCTGAGAATGTTCTGTGAAGCTTGGAGGCAGCGGAGCTTATGGAGGTTATGGAGATGGAGTTGGAAGTCCAAGGAATATTGGCAATGGAGTTTACGTGAAATGAGGTCACCAATGCAGTGGACTTAAGCCAAGGTGGAGTCGAAGTCCGAGGTCAGAGCCATGACAGGATCTCGGAGCAAAGGTATGAGCAGTAGGGCTCCTAGCAGATTGGATGATCTGTGGATATCCACAACCGCATCCGGAAATTCACGGATCCGGTTTTGGATTTTCAGAGGAAAATATCTGTGGTTTTTAATCAGATTTGCAGATTATCCACAGTTTTATCACATGATTTATTGCTTGCAGATATGCAGGAGATCTGAGGCAAATAGGGGTGAAATTCCCCATATTTACTGTAACTCTTACCCTATTGTGGCTTTTGAGAGGATAATATCTGCAGTTTCTAGTCTGCAGATAGGTGGATTATCTGTGGATTAAATATATCCCACTTTCCTAGATACCCCTCCTATGTTTCCATATTTTCTCCCAATTTTTTCAAGTCCTATCTAACCACCCAGGCCCGTTATTTCCAAATTTGGCATCTGACACCCACCTTTTGTGCCATTTTCCCCATATCTCTGTCAGTTCTCCACCAATATGGACATATTTGGTGTTGTTAGAAAGCTCTCATCAGGGCCATTCTAACGAAATATAATTTTGAAATGTATTATCTATAATCCATGGTTGATCCGCATATCCACAGATTTCTAACTGCTGGATATGGTTTTTGTTTCAAACCTCTAAAAATCCGCGGATTCTGATCCAGATCCAGACCGATCTGATCCGCTAGGAGCCCTAATGAGCAGTGTCTGAGTATGGGGTATGGGACTGTGGTGGAAGGTCGTAACTTGGCAGAGGTTGGTGGAAGAGGGTCGGAGGGAGGGGAGTGATGTCAGGGGACGACTCCCGGGTCCCCATGACCCTCCCCTATGGTCCACAGCCCTGAGGTGTAACCAGCCCTATCCAGGGCACAACCTACTGTGGGTAAGAAGATGAATAGATAAAGAGGCAAGTATATACACTTGCCTACTGTGGGTAAGAAGATGAGAAGGAAGCTAACTTCTCATCTTCCCACAGTGGCCACAATATCAGCAAAACTTCCAGGGATACCCGGAAGTCACATGAAGGGATAGGGACCGGGCCCGGAGCATGCGGTGCGTGGAGCGTGTGTGTGTGTGGGAAGTGCGGTGGGTGGAAGCGGGTCTGGACGCGGGTCCGGGTCCGGGCTAGTCAGGGTGTGTGCCCTGACAAGTGATGAGAGGAGCAAGGAGAGGAGTGAGGTCCAGTTTGAAGGAGAGTAGGGGTGGTGTAGGACTCCGGAGGTGGTAGAGTGGAGGGTCTGGAAGTTGGATCGAGATTGGGTTTGTATGGATATGACAGATGGCATGGACATGCTGAAGGAGTGGAGCTGGATCACCTTATGTAACCAGTTTCCTATGTCCAATAATGATATTAGAGTTTGTGCTGATTTGCATACTGACCGTGTTTTGGTTGCCAAATATATAATTGTTCACTGTCTGAACACCCCCCAACGATCTCACCTGATGTATAGATCATCTATGGATAAAATTTTATATTGACTTTACTATAATTTCTAGTCAATATTACACCTAGATATACCACTTTTCAGTAGGATGTGATTTTCCTGATAATTTACTGAAGAAAAACTACTAATAAAATAATTCCATAATAAATGTTACTCAATACAGGAGTGACCAAACTGCTCTTTCTATTGCTTAGAGTGCATGCTAGTTATCTAGCAGGTTCAGGATTGCTCACTTTTCTCCTGTGGTGTGATAACCAAATATTTCTGAGAGATTATTCAATTAAGTCCCTCCACCAAATTCTCACTAATTCTCACTATGACACTTTTGTTCAGCTGTGTCTAACTGACCTTAACTCGTGCTTAGAGTGACATGTTAGTTTTATATTAGCTAACAACTAATATTTGCTTTTATCTTTTGGAGCAAACGAACCAACCACTGGTGAGGAGAATTAAACTTATATTTCTACCTGAGGTTTGAGAGGGGGCAGAAGCAGCAGCCTTTTATGCTTTTCAGAGGCCTCTCTACTCCCATGCCTCACACTAGTTACATGTGCTACATTTGTATTATAGATAGTTCTAGAATGATATAGGGGCTTGGGCTGTGTAAGCTTAATAATGGACTTAGGACATGACTCAGCAATAAGTAATTTGGTTCTTTGTCTTTTGGGCCGATCTTAGCGGGGTCTTGCAGTGCTAAAGCTATGCTCTACACTGCCTTAATTACAAATGGTTATCTTTAGAAATGACTTGGCTATAAAGGATTCTAGACTGTTCTCTAATTCACCCCTTTTTGTGAAGCCACATCATTACTAATGTTCTAGAGCTTTTCCAATTAATTAGCTGATCTGCAGACTTCTGAATCACTTTATGCTTATAATCCAAGATCCAGATCGTCAATCATTCCTTTGTTCCAATTTATTTGAGCTTAAAATCAAAAAGTTTTGATGAATCATGGGAAAATATACAAGATCTGGTTTTTTAGCATTTTCTCCTCTTCTGATGCGATCAAAAACTGTCCATCTGCGCCAGGGGATACTCTGCCATATGGCATTTGGTCTGCCAGACTTCCGGGCGTCAATATATTTCCCTTGAGTAACATTACTTTTTGTAAGAATTAGCAAACAAATATATATGAATTATAAGGTGTTTTGCTGTTTGAGCGATATCTCCGTTAGTTTTGAAGCTTTTAGAATGAAACAAAACCATGGATAAAGTTTAGAAACAGTCTTTTTAGATGGTAAAAAGATTACAGTCAAAAGTTTACTGGTTCCCAAGATATTCACATTTCTTTCCCAATGTTCCTTCTTATTCTGCCATCTATGTGCTATTTTCTTGTTGTAGGGATATATTCTTTGAATATTATATTTTCCTACACCTATGCAGCAGCTTAAATCTCATGCTACATGGGTGTGGATAATTATAATGATATTCTAATGTCTGTCCAGTCTCATAAAGATCATGAGATCTGTTAAACATTTGAACTTGTCACCTGATTGTTGACTATTCTGATACATCATTGTTTTATTCTTCAAATATTATTTCTCCTACAGCACAATGGTGACACATCAGTTGATGCTGGCACCAATGCATTGGATGGTGTTGATGACATGTGCATCGACTTGGGAGGAAGTGGAAGTTGGTGTGAATGATGAGACACAGCTGGTGATGCATCAGCATCAGCGCATGCAGCAGTGCAGCTCAAATCAGAGTTGGAGGCCACACAATCAACATGGTGTTGATGTGCTGAAGGCATCTCCATATTAAAATAACTTGACCAACACACAACTCAGTGGAAACCTCATATCTTGCACCGTTCCGACATGGTGAATGGAGTGCGAGGTCACATAGTGGGAATATGGGCGATGTCTGTATGTGGGTTCGTTGTTATAGTGACCTTCACCTCAATTGCTGATTCCACCACACTTTGGAGTCCGCCTTGACATCTGATTAAATAACAACATACTGGGTCAACGCGGTTATTGACCGCCTCTCCGCCCTTTCCAAACTTTACACAAGCCATCCATCCTCATGATTCTTCAACGAACGCTTAGCCGACCTCCTTCTCCCGATACGCACTCTTCTCAGTTTTCCCTCTACTTATGCATGACGAGCGCACTCTTCCAAACGCTCTCCACCACTACTCTCAAATCCACCCCTTCGAAACTACACTTCTGTAAGTTTCACCCTCTTCATGTGAGTTAAAATATGTACATATTGCTTCCTCACTTTTCAGAATCGCGTCCTCCCTTGTGTACTAGTATGTCTTTGATGTCTGCGACTCAGCCGAAGGTGCCCTTCTCATTCTCTTGCGTTGCGTCAATGCTTCCATTCCCTACGGGTACCATATCATCCTTGTACCATATCATCCCCTCTCTTTCTCTGATTGTTGAGAGATTTTTTCGGGTCTCAAATCGATGCTGTGCAGGTTGCAGCGATGCGAGGCACGCCATCTAAAATCTTTGTGACGGTTTCTAATTGAAGACACTGGGTCGATAGCGAATCATGACGGCCGAATGAGATTTGGGAAGGCGAACGATGCGCGGTAGCGATTACATCAAGATTTCATCTGTATCAACATGATCGGATGATATTTGACGCAGTACGATATAGACTCGCCCCCAGGAGGTGTTGAATAGGCAAGCCGTGCTGCGACCTTCCTGCCCCCACCAAGCAAGGTAACTTGTCTAGGTCAGCCTCAGAAATAGTAATCGTGGGATTATCATATTGTCTATGGTGTGCTACAAAGTCCAAAGAATGCATGGATAGGATAGGGGAATCAAGTCCTGTGTATCATGGAAGTGTCATGAAGAGAGAATATTGTCAATAGAGATGTTCAAGAATTCTTTCTTGCTGCTCAAGTCAGCATTGGGGAATTGGCCAGCAACCGCTTCTCTAGCAGATCTAAGGCGAGCAAGGGTTAATTCCATATTATCAACTTATTACGTGAGACGCACTTCTTGGTGACAGCCATTAGATCCTGCGTGCTTAGGTAAGTTCTTAACACAGCAAGTAACTCTTCGTCAGAGGGGTTCATGCTCTGACTGGGTCCGTTGGGGAATGGGTTCGGATTCATTAAACTCGTAAGGGTCATGGATGTTGGTCGAGGGCCCCCAGGCGCGTTCACATCCGACCCTCCCCCCTGATTGCCCGAAAACATGTTCAGGTTTGTCATAACGCTGTTGCGCGGAGCTATCGGTGGCATGCCATACATGCTACCTGTGTAGCTGGGCATACCCATGCTCATGCTCATCCCTGTCTGCTGGGGTAATTGCACAGGAGCCTGGAAACCGACGGGTCCTCCATATTCGGAACCCACTTGAGACCCACCAAAACCTCCGAAACTGCCAGAGCCGATGGGTGGCATATTGAGCCGCGGTGGACCGCCCACTTGAGACATCGCACGAACGCTTTGGACATTACTGCGATTGGGGTTGAGAACATTGGTGTTACGATAGTAATCATCAGCAGCCTGAGATGGTGCAAAGCTGAGTGGTGACGCGGAGCGTGGAGGATGATCAGAACGAAGTTGAGAAGCTGCTTGGTTGGATGGACTGCGTGGACGAGGATGTTCAGTCATGTGGGAACGTGTCTCCCACGCCTCGGCTTCGTATTCTGTGAAGCCGGATAAGAAGTTCGTTCAATAGCCGCCTGCGTATACGTACCACTGAATCGCTTCAAGGGGATCATTGAATCGTCGTACGTTTCATCATCATCAATCACGATTTTTTTGTTGTTGCCTTCCCCAACAACAACGCGAGTGTTACCCCAACTGAAATCATCCATGCACCAGAATGAATACAGCGGAAGGAAGAAGCTGTATACCGGATAGCTGTGTTCACACTCAGCAGGCGTAGTCCAGACTGAAGCGAAGATACAACGCACGAGATAATGTAAATGATGAGCCAGCCGACGAGCATGAATTCTCGTTTAAGAATAAATATTACCGCCTACGGCGGAAGGGAACCGATCAGCGGAGGTTGCCTAAATGAAGACTCGTCAGCTCACTTGAAGTCCATACACGACCCCGATGAGGACGAGAGCAATGATGGGAATTGCGGTCTTCTTAGTGGCCACCTCCACGATGAGGTAAACAAGCTAAAAAGAAATCTAGGTAACAGCAAACAGGAAGGCTAAAATGACTGCATACGTAAACAGCAGTGGCAGGGAGCATCTAAAACAGAAATCAGCGTCATTGGACCCCAAAAACCAGGAGGCATAACTCACTATCGTCCCAATAAGATCCAGAAAGACAAAGAAACGCATAGAGAACAAACAGAAACCGCAGAGTTCGGGAATGAACAACAGTTCAACGAGGTTGTGAATAGTTGAGTTAATCCAACGGCGACGCTGCGAAAGAAGGACGTCCCATCTGTCAGGTGCCACAGTATGTGCGATGGCGTCAGGAGTGAACTTCATTTTGAAAGTCGGAAAGTGCGTCATCATAATCGTAGTGAGATATCGATCCTCTCCGAGAGATAACAGGTTCTTCTTGTGAAGAGTGTCCACGATGTTTTCGGAGTAATCGTCGATGACTCGGTTGGATATAATGAGTGGCCGTCCCTTGTCGGAAGTACGGATTCGGTAAAGACTGAAACAACCTGGAAGACAAGTAACCGAGCCAAACAAACTTTCGAAAGATTTGGAGAGATGATGCGATATATAGTACTCATATACCTATGAAGAAGTAAGTACTGGGACCCTGTCAATGGGAGCCACACAACCTGGATCATGGTCCACCAAGAGCCTTCGGGGTTGTCGAGTTTAGTCTCCCCACAGATCGCGATGATCTGTGTATCGTCCGCAGTACAAGCAACTAGCCGATTAAGTGAATCAGGAGTAACGGTCTGAGTTTGTGTTAGCAAATAATAACGGTGACTCCATGGAGGCACTTACTGTATCCGCATCAACCATGAGGATGTATTCGTAGAAAGCTGGATCAATCCCAATAACGTTGCGCATCTGATGATAAATCTCCAGCTCAAGGGGATTCATCGGAGAATCAAAATGCACTCGATTGAGGTACTGCAATAATAGAATTTGTGAGTCCCGCTTGCCCCGATTCCCAGGCTTTGAGCGCTCAGTCGGTTTGCCAACTTTGATAACAACCATATACCTGTTCAGTAAGAGGATGATTGAAATGTCAGAAGGTATGTTGCCAGCAGGGACGTCAACGTACGGAACGACATGCCCTTCAAACTCATATAATCCTGAATATACCTTGCCATAATTGAGCTGTCGGGAACCTTCGCCGATCGAGTGGAACAGGAGAGGTTCTGGGTCCAGAGAAGGATCCACTCCTAGTATATCAAGAGCGATCCGCGGGGTCGGCCGGTCGTTCCCGCTACCGATGATATTCCCATCACAGATGAGGAAAATCAACTTCCTCTTGTCATCATATTTGAGAGCAGCTAGCGAATCTATGGTACGGCGAAGCGACTCCTCGCCTTCCGTGTAGCAAGGCACCTGGCAAATAACAAACTTGTCAAGCAGCTCTGGAGTTCGCTTCGGCGACAGCTGCAAAGCAGCGAGGACTGCATGGAATTGGTCAGTGTTGCGGCACCTCGAGAAGGCGAACCAATGAATGGCCTACATTTTGCCCCAATCGTAGCACAAAGCACGCCAGAAGCAACAATTAAAAGGTAATTCTGAACCTTACAACGTGGGGAGTCCCGAAAGTCGACATTGCCGTAATAGAAATTGTTCTTCAAGCATGCGTATGTGGCTGCCTTTACATCATCGGAGTACGACGCCATCAGTCTATTCATAGAGTCCGAGACGTCTTGACCAGGTTGTTGTTTGAATATGCTGCTCAACGATGTATTAAGGAATTTGTATTGGGCGGCATTATTCTGGATCGTGAGGGTATTGAAATAATCAGAGAGGTCAAATATCTCATTATTCCAAATCGACCAGTATCTATCCAAGGCATGAGCAGGAGCAATTGATTGAGCATATTCGAGATGCCTACCTTCCGTCCTTGTTCGCTTGACTCGCGACCTCTCGCCTGGAATACACAAAAGGGCCTTTGTAATACTGTCTCATGGTTGGGAGGAACGTGCTAGTGTACCACTTGGAGTTTGACAAGTCCGTCCCGGTATACAGAGTCTGCGCGCCAGAATAATGAATGGCTTGAGGGACACCAGGTGTAAAGTTTGCCGGAGTCAAAGACAGAACGCCATCAGTGACGAATGCACTGCAGCCTTCGCTAAGAGGGACGGGGAAGTACTGAGTTAATTCCAGTCCTGCCAACGATAGCATGTCCTGTTGCGTGATGGAAACACTAGGATCATTGCTAGAGTGACCGCGCCAGAACTTAGTGATGTCATAAACACTCCCATGCAGAGCAACCCAGAAGTTATTGTCAGCGTCATGTCCGCCAAGTTCAGCCGTATTCCAGACTTTATTCTGTCCAGGACAAAGGAGCATGCCAAAGACGATAATGTAGAAAAGAATAAGACCGCAGAAGGCACCAATCATCATGCATATTGTCAACTTTTCTCTCCATGCCATGCGAACGTCAGGACGCTTCATTCGACCAACTCGGCTGTGAAGTGAATTTAAGTCCGTAAAGCACGGTATAAATATTGCTGAGCCACCTTAAACAAAAATTTGGGATCCAAAAAGTCGACAACCATACCCAACGAACCCACCATCTCCGGGCAGAACTCGTGGGAACCTCAAGAGTTGTTGCTTCCTTCGCTTTAGCTTTGGTATGGCCTATGTTGGAGTCATTTAATGGGGCTGCCTCTGAGCGAGGGGTTCCGATGGCCTTCTCGAATTCAGATCCCCATCCGATACTTGGTTCTGGATCGGCGAATGGCCCGGCACCACGGTCGTTCGTCGTACCATATGGCGTCAGTGCAGGAGAAAATTGAGTGCGAATGAGATTATCTGAGCTACTGTTGCGAGGTAGGGGAGATTTCCAATCATTTGGAACGTCCATGTCGCCAGCAGTACTAATGTCATCGCCATCAATGACGCTTTCTGTCTCCAAGTTCCCGGCTAGGCCACGGGCAAGTTTCCGACGCTCTTTTTCAGCGGCGCGGAGAGGATCCTCTAGCGACTTGAATGCAAGGAAAGAAAGCCAAACAGATTGATGCCCTAAAACGTACTCTGGGCCTTCTACCAGTCCATAGTCATTCAGAACAGCAAGAATCCGGTCGAGGGGGTCCTGTCCAACGGTGTCGCTATATGCATAGCGATCACAGAAAGCGTCAAAGCTGTAGTGCATGGAGTATTCCGTGGATCGGCGGGCGACGATATCGGATACAAGATATGATCGCAGCTGAGACTTCACTCGGCGTTTGTCAAATGAGTTGGGAGAACCTGAGTCATTCGGTCGAAGACAGATGACATTCCAACGGTGGGTTTGCTCAATGGATTGCATTATACCAACCATCACGGCATCAATTTGCATCGTGACTGGATAAATCGTCTGCGGGTCCAAGGAAAGTCCCACTGGCTCAGCAGTGGGAGTTGGTTGGCGTAACGGACGTGACGAAACTTGTGCCTGCACAATGATGTTGGGGTCATTACGGTGAGTCTCGACGGAAAGGGTCGGCCCCGAGAATAGCTTGGAGATGAACGAGTCCGAGGATGATCGAAGGAGGGGAAGGAAAGCAGCATCCAATAAATCCGAATTCCGGTCATAGAAGCCGCCAATATCATAGGTGCAGCTTCCAGAAAAGTGACTAATTGTAAATAGCTCAGCGGAGGAGAATGAACCAACATTGGGCCTCCCGAAAGCAGAATGAACGGAGAACTTTGAATTAAGATCCTTCAAGAGCTCCTCGTCTCGCCTTTCACCACTCTTGACATGGTGCGATGTGGACACCGCCTTTCCAATAATGCCCAATATACCACCCGGCACACTCCCCTTATTCGTGACACTGCCTCGAAGCAACTCAACGCACGCAGAATTATCCATGATGGGAATGGATGGAAGACTGATGCCGTCCGAGACCACGAGGGAATTGAGACCGGTGGTATCATCAAATATAGACTGGGTCACAAAGAATTGGACAATTTCGTTCTGGAAATTCGTGATGAACTCCTCATATTTATTGTGGCCGATGGCCGACAGGAGTGGTCCCGGACCTCCAATAGATCCAATGGAGCCACGGGATCGGAACCCAGGTTGATCGAAAAGGATGATCTGCCCGAAGGGCGACCGTGCACCGGATAATGGAGGTGCCACACGGTGATTTGCGGTTTCGACGACGAAAGCAAAAAGGATTGCGTACAAATCTTGTACCAACCGGTCCCGTTGAGCAGCAGCAGGATCAGCGGTAAGAACAACCATTTGAACTTCTTTCCGTATGTACGTGGTTTTGTTGGTCAGAACCTCCTGCAATTCCTCCGCTTCGACACCAAGGAGGTGGCAAACTTTATCCAGGATAAGGGGGTTCGATACACGGGCAGGTTCATAATTAACCTCCTTCGTGTTATAATCGATGAATTGGAGATTCCCCAGCAGGAGCGCGACAACTAGAAGAGAGAAAATCGAGGATATGTGCTTTGGTTTAAAGCCCAGAGCCTTCATGCTGGCACGCAAATCCCCCATGTTGACGGCATCATCGCTGAAAGGCCCGCTGGGGAGGCGATAGCAACCCGAGGAAGACAGAAGTGCGTAATCCGAGGGATCCTCCAGTCCCCAGGCGTCCCTTTCATCCGGTGTGGCACCAGCGAGAAGCTGATAAAAGACATGGAACGTGCGTTCGTCATTGGACAATCGAAGAAGACGGCTTTTGTCTGGTGCGAAAGCGAGGACTTGGGCAGCCTCGATACGACCCTTGTCATTATAGTGAAATTCTGTGTAGCGCGTATACCGAGTTGCAGAAGGGTTAATGGAAGTCTTAGCATGCCCAAACGATTCTAAAACAGTTTCCAGAGCACGAATTTGTTCTGCCAGGCGAGCGTCCTTCTTTGAATGAGTCGACAATCGCAATAACTGCGCGGAGAGCAGGCGTGAATTGTGGGATTTACCAGAGGCGGTGATTCCGCTAGGAAGCGTATGAGCAACACTGTATAATAATATAGGCGAATACTCACCAGAAAATAACGCTCTGTGACTCCCGTCGTCGTCGCATTGTGAGGTATACGCGAACAGCCAATTCGTAAACATGGGGTTGTAAAACCGGGGCACTTTCGTCTGGTGCGACATCAGTGTAGAGCTGTTGGTATTGCTTCTTGCTCGCATCATTAACGTTCTCCAAGACCTTAAAGGGATTGATGGAAAGAAGGGTTGAGTCCCGAATCCAAGTCCACGGCATCTCTCGCCGAAAACGGGCCTGGAGAACGTCAACAACTGCATCCTCGGATGGATACACACGGTTGGAAGTCCCCGTCACGAGCTGTGTCAGATCTATGATTCCAGTGGGGTCGGTCGTGGACATTTTTGAACGGTACAAACGAGAGCGACGTTTACGTTGCCAGCCACTTGTTTACGTTCTCCGCGGGCACGTGCTCAGGCGTTCAGTGACATCACATGCACCGTGTCCCCAACTCAATTCCAACGCAAGAGCGCGCCCACTTCTTCAATGGTGTTCCGGTACAATGCTGGATTCCTGCGTCCGCCGCGCCCCAAGAACATCCGTTCCCATTTTTTTCGGCCCGCATCTACTCCATCTACCCTCCCGAGTCGCCTACAAACATCTGTTCGAGTGTTTGCATTTGTCGCCTCGGGAATTGTTCTCACTGCATACTACTTTGATTCACGCTCAATTATTCACCGCCATGTGTTTCCCCCACTTCTCAGGGCTTCACTAGACGCGGAGAAATGCCACAGACTTGCTGTCAAAGCACTCGCGGGTGGCTTCGTCCCAACAGATGATCTGCCTGACGATTCAATACTTGAGACAGAAATTTGGGGTCACAGGCTCCCGAGTCCTGTGAGCTTGGCCGCAGGATTCGATAAAGATGCTGAAGCGATTAAAGGTGAGCTTGATCTCAGGTCCATGTAGGGAACCCATCCCGAGCGTCTATTAGGGCTATTCGGTTTGGGTTTTAGCTGGGTCGAGATAGGAAGTGTAACACCGAAAGCTCAGTCCCCGAACCCAGCGCCTCGCGTGTTTCGTCTCGAAGAGGACTCCGCTATCATCAATCGCTACGGCTTTCCCTCAGTCGGTGCCGCGCTTGTCGCCTCCCGAATTCGGTCATTTCTTTCTCTACGCCATGATCTGTACTCATCCAGAATTCTCGCCATCAATCTCGGAAAAAACAAAACGAGTGCTCCTGACTCCGTGGATGATTACACTGTTGGTGTTCGGACCCTTGGTCCCTTCGCGGACGTACTTGTTATCAACGTCTCCTCGCCCAACACACCTGGTCTGCGCGGATTGCAATCCCCCGGTCTACTTATTGAACTTCTCAATGCCGTGATTAATGAACGTGATCAGCTACCCAGACGTCAAGTCGGTATGAATGGCACCAAATGGGAACGCCCCAAGCTTGTAGTCAAGATTGCCCCTGATTTGTCCGCAAACGATATTGAAGGGATCGCAGAAGCTGTACGACAGAGCGGGATCGATGGTGTGATCGTAAGCAATACAACTGTTCAGCGACCCTCATCATTACTCTCAGGTTAGCATTCCAAAGTGGCTCCAGTCTAGACTCAAACCCATCCCTACCAGCGCCGTCTAAGGAGGCAGGCGGTCTCTCTGGCCCACCCCTAATGCCCCTATCGCTTGCAGCTCTTCGAACTCTGCGGACACTTCTCCCAGGCTCAGTCCCTATCTTCGGATGCGGGGGTATATCGACCGCTGCTGATGCCATAACCTTCGCCGAATCAGGTGCCACCGCCATCCAACTCTGGACCTCCTTCGCCTACGAGGGAGCTGGCACACCAAGACGATTGAAGGACGAGTTGACATCTGAATTGAAAAAACGTGGCCTCACCTGGATGGACGTCGTACGCACAGGCCAGAGGAAGGCGGGATCTGCATTAAAGCAGCCTGTAGAAGACATCCCCCTTGAAGAGAGAGAGGCTGTATTCAAGGAGGAATCTGATACACTAATGACAGAGGCCTTCCGGCTACAAGAGCTACTTCAGCAGGTTAACTCGGCGCTGGTGACGGACACCGCGCGGATCCCGAAGGATGGCCAGGGACTTAGAGCATTGGAGAATCGCGAAATAGCAAGGGCAGTGGAGAGCGACGCTGAGTCCACGACTGCGGTGCTATCAGCGAACATAACCGCAGATGAGTCCCTCACATTAAAGGAGGGCGAAGAGGTGAAAATGATGGCCAACTCAACTTCAGATGTTGTAAGAGGTCGGTTCTGAAAAGCATATGATACACTAGAAAGGTTGCTTCGCAACCATGACCTTGCTTGCACATGACATGGCGCTACTTTGCAACTAGTCGCAGCATCGCACTCTAGTACTGACTTTAAGCAATCATGTCTTTCACAGTCGTGTTCACACGCATAGCAAAATATAATGAGTTGAACCAGCGTTTCAGGGGACATTTGATCGATCTTGCACCCCCTACCAACAGGACTGACGCCATTCAACGCTTATGTTGCGTTATCTCGGAGCTCTGGACATGACACGGTACGACTTCTGCGAGAAGTATTCAGACAACCAGGAGAAAAAAACGTAGGACCCGCTGCGGGAATTTTGTTGAATTGCCAAATGAGTCATGTGACCACACCCGCTTGCCATTTTGGATAATCACATGACTTTCATGATATTCATCCAAGTCGGGCGCGCCGTTTTTCTTTGCAGCTTGCTTACAGCTCAACACAATAAGCTCGGGTTTGAAACTAGCCAGTGAAAGTGTTTCGCAGGCGAGCTTCAACTTCAAGTACCATAACACCGTGTCAGACGCGTGCAACAATGACTGTTCAGACAATCAAGCAACTACTAATCGGGAAAATTCGTATTCATTTGCGTTAGCGTTCAAGAGACAAAAATTGTAATATAAGGATGCGATATAGTGGTGGCGGCGCTCACGATGAGAAGAGGTAAGGCGGGGCAGTGTACGATATGTGATAAAGAACGCGAACCATCGACACGATGAGAAGACTGATAGGAAGCCATCAAACAACAACAGCAAAAGAACTTAATTCTAAGCTTCCTCTGTTGGTGCCTCAGCTGCTTGCTCGTGGCCAGCCTCAGCCTTGTCGCCCGACTCCTGCATATCCGAAGTCCAGAGAGTAAGGTTATCACGCAACAATTGCATGATAAGCGTCGAATCCTTGTAGCTCTCTTCCGAGAGGGTGTCAAGCTCAGCAATGGCATCATCGAACGCCTGCTTCGCAAGGTGGCATGCACGGTCGGGTGAGTTTAAGATTTCGTAGTAGAAGACAGAGAAATTGAGGGCAAGTCCAAGGCGAATGGGGTGGGTCGGAGGGAGTTCAGTGACAGCAACGTCTGAAGCAGCCTTGTAGGCTTCCAACGACTTATCTGCCGAATCCTTGCGCTTGTCGCCGGTGGCGAACTCAGCCAGGTATCTGTGATAGTCACCCATCCTGTCGAGCCGAAAATATGTCAGAGAATGACTAAAGTTAGACATGGAGTTCGTGAAACTTACATCTTGTGGTAGAAGACCTTAGATTCACCAGAGGCAGCAGAAGGAATGAGGTGCTTGTCGAGGACGTCAAGGATATCCTCACAAATCTTGGCAAGCTCGGACTCAATTTTCTCTCTATAGCCCCGAATCATGGTGACCTGAGCCTCGTTGCCCTTGGATTCCTCTTTCTGCTCGATGGAGGAGACAATGCGCCATGAGGCGCGACGGGCACCAATGACGTTCTTGTAGGCAACCGAGAGTAAGTTACGCTCTTCAACTGTAAGCTCCTGGTCGGACGAAGCGACGCGCTTCATGTTCTCCACCATTTCTTCATTCACGCCATGAGCAACTGCACATAATTCAAATATTCAACAACCACCTTCGTAACGCTCAGCCTGTTCAGCAAGCTTTGCAAGGTAAACAGAGTCTTCACGAGACTCGGCCATCTATGTTGTACGTCAGGAAATGACACGAATAATCCAGCGAGCGAGTGCGATCTCACTTTGATAATCTAGAAATATGCACGCGATTATCATCAGGAATGACTTGGCCATATACGGGGCTTCGAAGCGACATCACTTACAGATCGTTGAAGAGGAATGAAGGGGGACACGAAGGATTTGGTAGCGTCAAGGTTTATATGCTCCTTGGCTGGGCAAAGGGTTACTTACCCTAAACCCTCTGCCACTCGGAGTTAGCGGGCTCAACCGCTAATCACCGGTGGTTAGGGGGTATCTCCGTTAATTCCCCATCATCGTCGTATTCGAAAACAATCCCACGACAATATCCCAGACATTACAGAACCCGAGGATCGCTGACACCCGAAGATACCAATCAGACACCATACCACAATGCTTAGATTATCCCCTCATGTACGCTACGGTGTCAAGACGGGATAGCCGCACTGCCACGTCATCACGAGGCCGCGGGGTAATAAGAGAGATTTATCATCATTCGAAAACCACCGGAACTGCGTCAGACATTCTATGCTGTTTCTTAACCCCCTTTAGGGTCATTGTGGGTACCAAATTAGAATCGATCAAGCTGCAGGCTGTCTGAAATTATATAAAGGGTCATCGCACCCCTGCTACCCCACCATCCACCCACTAAGGGTAGACCGACTGTTTGCCAGCGGTCGTGTCACGTGTGTTCAGACACAGGAGGTACTGCAACAAAGAAAAAACAATGTCGATGAGGGCATTTCTCAGAATGAAGGGCCGGAGCGAGCCAGAACGACTCAAAATAAATACCAGCGGACGCGCAACCAGAAAGCTATTGGAGGTCCACCAGAGAAAAGAAAGCTATTCGACGGGAGCATGATATAGGCGAAAGTGTAGAGTGGGAAGAAGAGCATCGACTTGATGGAAACCATGATGAATGGTAGCAAACCTACCCAGCGAAAGCTACGGGCGGTTCCACCAAAAAAAAAGAAACCATAATGAATACGTACGATAACGATTTTTGCGGGGTATCGACTCAGAGCGGAATCCTCTGAACTTACCAAGGATGGAACAGTGTGTACGTAGAGTGTTCATATGCAACAAAGGAGGAGCGACGAAAATTAACTATGGAAAGCAAATGATGACAAAGAAAGCGAGTAAAAGCTTGGATGGATTCCCAACAGCTGAAAAGAAAGCGAGATGATTCTGCTGACCAATATTGAAAATTCGGTGCAGAAACTGAACCAGTCGATGTAACCATCATCTGCGCCTTGAATAAATGAAGGTACATCAAAAATTCTCCACCAAACTCATTGTTCAGGGAAACGAGAGGGAGATGCACAACTGCTTAGCGACGTCCTGAACGAGTACCAGGTTGCATCGGTCGATCGGATTGCTCTTCCAGAACCCGTTGTGGATCAAGGGAGATGTCATCATTAGAGTGAAGGGCAGAGGACCCGGGGCCATACCATACACCCATGTTCGACCCGGAGAACCCTGGCCCAATTTCAAAGGGATCGTAGAACGATTGCTGTCGCTGACGGTATCCTACCGCATCTTGGGGTTGGCGAACATCATATTGATCCCGCAAGACGTGCTGCTGTGATTGAGCAACGCCTGGCCCCACGTCCGGCAACACACCACCCGCGAACCCTGGAGCATTCATCTCAAACTCTGACACGTCGTTGTACGCTCTTCTAGCACTAGGAGCAGGTATGGGAGGATGGTGTTCTGAGGAAATATACTCACCCCCCATTCGCGAGCGACTCGCTCCCAACTGGCCATCGAATATCCGAGACAGTTCGTCATGCCTGTCCACAAGATACGCCGCATCGTTCATGCCCCCGGGTGCTGCTGCAAGAATGATGAGCTATGCTGCGCCATTGCCTCCGGGGAGACACGCGTCAGCATCTGTTCCAAATCCATTCCCTCGGCCGTTCTCATGCTCCGAAGGGGCGCAGAATTTGGGAACACTCTACCCATTCCTCTCATCGAACTAGAGTGAGGCGACGGAGTCCGTCGATGCTGGCCCGCACCTTGGTGTACTGACATCCCTGCAGGAATAGACATTGGAGACAAGAAACGGCTACCCGAATCGTGGGGGAGACAGGCAACACTGATTCCTCGCCCACTAGGGGTCCTGGATGACGATTGATTAGACGAAAGACGAAGAGGGATCTCCCTAGGATTACTAAACGAGGAAAGCTCCGTGGATACAGTAAGAGGGCGGGCGAAGGAAGTAGATGAGCGGTTGGTAGACTGAGGCGGCGCGCGTCTCTGACGAGATGGTTCTATTACAGTAGGGACAATTATCGGGGTCCCCGCCACACTGGGAACCCGTCTAACGTGCTCATCTGAAGACAGCGGCAATCTGGAAGGGCTTGCGTTTGGGCCCAGACTCAACTTCTCTGCGCTGTCAGCAAGTGCAGCGGCTTGTTTGACAGCTTTAGCCTGGCTTCTACCCCAACTCAACCGAATCGGTCTTCCACCGAGCTGAACACCTTGCATGTTCTGGATCGCCTGAGTAGCATCCGCCTTGCGTACATACTGAACAAAGCCGCATGCCTTCCCTGGAGGAACCTTGACCTATTGGTCATGTTACAGTTTGTGACCAAGCGATGGGGCCAGGCATCCAGGATAGAACTCACATAGTGAATCTCCCCGAAGACTCCAAAACACGAAAGGAGCTCCTCTTCCGTCACAGCGGAGGACAACCCACCAACAAAGACGGTCGTATTCCACTCAACCGAATTACCAACATCATTACCATCATCATCCATAAAGCTACCCGCATCACTCAAGGCAGGAGCGACTGAAAAGCCTGTAATGTCACTCGCACTATCTCTAAGTGGCGACGTATTCGCTGCGCTGGACAACGGTGATGCCCTATCGATTGGCATCCCTAAGTGACTCGTAGATATCTCTAAGGTCCGCGTTGGTGCTTGCGAAGTAGAAGTTGCAGACCGGACCTCATGTAGGCGCTCGTACGCCAGTGTCGAAACGGGAGCAGGGGAAGAACGCGGCGGGGAAGAAGAATGAGATGTGCTCGTTGAGCCCCTTGGGGCCAGGTTGTGCGGCCCGACTCCAACGCCGAACGCCTGCCGAAGCTGAGGGAGGGAAGAAAACATGCTGGCAATCTCTCCATCTTCCTCAGATGTGAATTGGTCATCGGCAACGAGGTGATCCAGAAGTCCACCCTTGGCAAGAGTCACGATCTGTCTCAGCAACGGCTTAGGCACATCATCTATCGTTGTTATTGGCCTGACACCACTTCCCGCACTGCTGCGGTGGGACAAGGCGCTTAAAGGCCTCGACCCTCCGGCGCCCGGACTTAAACTGTTGGATACCCCGGACCGATGCCCTCGTCCCTGAGCCTGACCAGCTGAACTCCCAGTGTTGCGATAATTTAGGGGACTCAAGCTTGCGTTCGAACCAGGATACAGAGGCGATGATGGGGAAAAAGAGGTGATAGGGGAGGGCTGCGGTGGCCCGCGACCGGAGGAACGCTGAGGAGAAGGCGGAATTGGGGGAAAGGAGGTGGAAAGTCGCGACGTCGGTCGGGAGTTACTCTCGGATGGTGGACCTTCACGCCAAGATGTGTCTATTGGGGGAAGGGGACGCGGTGGGGATGCCCGACTGGTAGTGGCAGACGCGATTGGCGGCTTCGATCTTGATGGTGCACTTGCTATACGCACTGGTATGGTAGCGACAAAATGGAAGGTGACGAAGGAGGCGGAGGAAAACGGTCAGTTCCCACGCTCGAATCTGGGGGGAGGAAAAGGAACACAATACGGAGGACCGCAATGAAAGGCGCCCTTGGGGCATATGGCTGGCATGTGAGGACGAGACAAATATCAGTCGACCTACTTGGCCTGCCGCAGCAGTAAACACCCTGCATCTCGACTAAAGCGCGCACCATCTCATCCCGGTTTGAAAACCTCACAAACCCATACCCCTTGCTCCCATTGGTCTCTGGTTCGGACATGACCTTTGCGCTGCTACAGCTCAAGAATGGCTTAATCAGTCGTCTTGGTTCATCTTCTGATTGAGGGGGGACCCCGATGGATGGGTTACGAAAGACATCGACAAGATCTTCCGCAGTCACGTCCAGAGCGAGATCACCCACGAAGATACTGTGCTCTGCATCACCGTGACCCCTACCGCCGCCGCCGGGCCGTCGATGGGCGCCCCCAGAAGAAGCACTAGCTGTTCCACTGGTCGTACGTGTAACATCCCTACGCGGGGAGAGGTCTCTTACAGGCGCCAACGTGCGGGGAGGGGCAGTGCCTTGGCCAGAAGAAGAGGCAGGTCTCTGCATCAGTATGCGAGCAAAGAGTATTTGAAGGGGAAAGGGGGGATGCAGGCGAAATATTGTGACCAAGTAAAGTAAGATGGCACGAGGGCAGTCACAAACGACCATCGATCAGGATTCGGATTGGCGGGTTATTGAAATTGAGCCATGCCCACCTTTTGAACCGGCCCTCGCGGAGATTTCGACCCCAAACCAATGGAATAATTTGCAAGAGGAACCTGTCCTGCTACCAACACCCCCTGCTCGTCCCCACGACCGCCACGGTCGGGAGCACTTATAATCAATACTGCACCTTCATCGCCTCTGCCGTTATCTTTGGCTTGACTTAATTCAGGATCGTTGTGGGTGGGCCAATCGCGAGAAACCGTATTGTTATCCGAATCTATATTCAAACCCGCGACCAAACTTTTATCAATGCTCCAGAGTCTAGAGAACGAAAGGGACGGAGTGTGCTCGAAAGGAGGAGCAGTGGCACGAAGGCACGAAGGCCCTGAAGAGACGTATCACCATATCAAAAAGACCGGAAATACGGACCTTGTCGATTCGAATAATCATGGATTCCCCACGTTCGGTGCATATCCGCGTCACGATGCGCGTCAATGGTTTGGGTGCCTCCTGAAGCACTCACTGACGGTCGATGATATGGTTCCAGTGTAGGCGCATCGCTGGGGAAGTACTGTCCTGCTAAAAGCGACGGAGGTCCTCCTTGCACAGGCGTGCGTAATTGTAACCTCAGTCCTTCAGTGAGATCGTCGTCTTTAGATGGAGTCGCCGCAGAAGAATGTTGATACATGAGATGCGATAGATTTAAGTGTATATAGCGTTTTTTTAGCTGATAAGAAAGGAAACGAAAGAAAGCAGCTGGATCAGAGTTGGAGGATAGCGATGATCTGTTTGATGTAGGCAAAAAGTGAGCTGATAGCAACAGTCAGAGCGATGTGAAGATATGATTTGTACTAGGATCTCATAGCCCTTGATTCGGGCGATATGGAAAGGAAAGAGAGCGATAGAGCGGGAATAAACAAAGTATGTGGTGGACGTGGAAGGTGGCGGAGGAAGCAGAATGATTGTGTGTGCTTGTGGTCGAGGGGAAGATTTCCCACAGTCCATGGCCAAATTCCTTTGATTTCAAATTCATTCAGTCATTTGTCATTCGATCGGCCGAGTATTAATTTGCGATCTAATTCAGCTTGAGATCGTAAATGTATGCATGTTCGTGAAGAGGGGACGACGTCCAAGATTCATCATGCTTACGGGGTGAGCCAGAATACTTTCAAAATTGCAGAGTGAGCTGCTCAATCGCTAACACGCCCGTATTTGCGTAACAATGAACCATACTTTTGGGGCACTGGTTCATCCCGGTCCCGCTCATCGGAGATCGATATGAGCCCAGAACCGCAGATACGCCTACCACAAGTTACATAAAACATCATATGCCCTTCCCTTTGAATACAATCGGTAAACAGTTCAGATAATTGAGGCCAACTGCTGCACATCATGCTGTCTCGCAAAGAATCGCGTCTGGCCTGAGCTGAAGGCAAACGCCAGCGCAGCAACTATACAGTCACAGTCGATCACTACGGCACACACCAATCTACTTAGGCTCCGCCGCGTCCGCTTTCTCAACGGTAAATCTTCATCTTCGCCTTCATCTCCATCCCCTTTTGCAATTTCTTGCTCCCCTCCCACCTTTCTCTTGCTCCCCTTCCCAGCACTGATAGCGATGCTTTTCCAAGCACTACTTCCCGGGTCCTCCCACCCCCCCCATGTTCCTCATCTTCACGATAGCCTCATACGCTTCCAGACTGACAGCCTGCACACTGAGTCGGCCCCCGCTTTAGAAGAGTCATGTCTCGGATAGCTCTCACATCTTCAGCCGTCAGGCACTCGGGTATGCGGAATTGTGCGTGAAAAGTGGCAGATGCTTCATCTGCGTTCTCCTCGCCATGGTCACCAACTGGATGCATCGCCCTTCCACCGCAGAGCCGTGAACCGCTTGCGCAGGACTGGAATCCCTACCGGTCCTTCTACCCAACCCCTCAGCTAACAATCCGGCAATAGCTATTCCCCTGAGTGACCATAATGGAACAAAATTTGGTAATCGCCTGACGAACTTCACGTCCACCATGTACCATTTCGGTTTCCCTTTGGTCGAACGCTGAGCACCGCCGGTGAGTCAATAGGGGAAGAAGGTCAACGACTTTCCTAGTTAGGCGACAAAGAAACAGAAATCATTTTGAAAAATGATAAGTCTTGGGGTCGAAATGGATAAACTCGGCCCATTGCCAACCGGCTTCATGCGATAGTGGCTGCTGACCCCGCGGATCAAGTGTCCGTGGAGGGCTACGCCAGAAGGAAACTTGTTTGACTCACCTTGTCGTAGCAGTGATGTTTCCTAGGAAAGCGAACGCATTGCACAAGTCACGAGATAAGATCGGAATAATATTCGTCAAGTCGTCGTGAGAATCCACAATTCTGGAAATAAAAATACCGCTGCGCTCGAACCGACTGACTCATTGGTTGGGGCAGAGAGAATTGTGAATCCACTACGAGAGCAAACGACCCATGCTCAACAAGAAGGCGCATGCGACAGGCTGTGCATGCAATAACTAGAATACGCAGAAGGTCACTCACGGATTCCATGCATTAACTGTCCACGCGTCAAGCCGTGGGTGTAGATTGACAACCAATACACGAAGGTGATCAGGGGAGGCACGGAGATGCACGCCCGGTTTTGTGAGTAAGGGCCGCGTTCCACGGAGGCGGCGTGTCGGGTCAGCGGTTCATCGGCGAGCAACGGGTCGCGTTCGTTTGGAAGATGAAGATTGGTACACTGAGAGAAGCGATTCCATGATATTGTAACGTGATAGGTCACGATTTTGCGAAAAGTCCTGACCATTGTGCAATTATTGGAAACAAGACATTGTCCGTTATCATGTAACTTCGCGGACTGCTACCTTCAGGCTCAGTGGAATAGGATTCTTATCCTGATCTTTTACAGACCGGTTCCACTGTTTGCTGGAGGCGGAACAGAGCCGGATTTTTATCTCATGGTAGACCAGACAAAGTCGCAATTCGGAAGCTAGATGTAAATTTGATTCGTAACTAGGTATCCTAAGCATACACAATGGATTTTTGTCAGAGTTCATCTTGTTGGAGAGCGTCTACAGTCAGTGAGTCATCCGTGAAGGCGGTGCGGGCCCAGGAACCCACTGAGGAAAGTGATTCCATGATAAAATCATGGACGATATGAGATGGAAGTTTTACCACAAAACACGATTTTTTCGTGGCCTGCTACATGTGATAAATCCGGGTTTTTTCACCAATTTGATCAAAATCCTGTCGTAAAATCTTGTGTTGCAAGGGATTTAGTCAATTCATCCTGTACAAATTCATGATAGTGTCTTTCTAGCAGCTGGACTAATCCTGCTTCGCTTCAGGACTTAATTGCATATCTTCGGGGATAATATACTAATTGATTGGAACATCAGCACGCACGGTATCTATATTACATTCAGGCTTGAGATGTGAAAGGAAATGACGGAGATATGAATGGTTCGACGACAGCAATTCTAGTGGTACAACAGCGGTGAGGGCAGGTAACGAAGTGCGAGGGGACTGATGCGACGGAAGGAGTTGACAAGAAGATGCGGTGCTGGCGAAAGCTGCGATGCGAAACAGTAAGCATGATTAACCTAGAAGACTTGGAGTAAGTGTACATCAGATGCAATGGGATCAATGAACGATCTCCGCTCTGGATTGAGCTCCTCAGGCTCGCACGCCTACTTCTGCCCTGTTCGTCGCCAGTGTTCTGACCCGAGCTCCTCAGACTCGCGCATCTACTTCTGCCTCGTTTGACATTGGCTCCTTGCTGACCTGAGTTCCTCAGGCTCGTGCGCCTAGTCCCGTCCTCTGGACCGCAGCTGTAGGGAGTGCCTGGAAATCATTTATGAGCAATGGGTTGAGTTAGTGAGTGAGTACCTTCACCTGGTTTGGTGCGAGTCCGATTAGCATCCAACCCGTCATGGAGCCTCTGATGTTTTCTACTGGTATCTGCCACATTCTCCTCATCCAAAGGGGCGAGTTTCCTCTGAAGGGCACGAGCTACTTGAAAATGAGTGTACTGAAAGAGTGGGCGAGGAAGTGACTTGCGTTTTGGTCGTGACACTATTATGAATTGTCAGAGACCAGACTTGAGATGAAGGAATGTCTCCGTAACAGAGGGCTTTGGCCTCAGCGACTTCTGCCAAGAGCGCTGTGCCTAGTGACACGTCCGTGCCCTAACTTACTGACTGGCACTTAGAACCTAGGGGGGGTAACTCTAGTTGATTTATCTGCTGGGGCGTAACCTATGTACAAGTAGTGTATATATATGGTTACAGCGGAGACGGTTCTGCAATTGGCGGAGCCGAACGGAGCGGAGCTAATGGGGTTAAGACATTAGCCGACTGAATATTACCGACGAGTCGGTTCGCGGGGTTAGCGGAAAGGCAGGCGTTAACCCAGAAACGGAAAGGAGGGATAGGCCTGAAGGTGGGCTCTGCAGGGCAGGCGAGTGTATTGCCCAGTGGAGGCGGGAGTGTGCTAGCGGACGTCGGAGCTGTCCGGAAGTCTTTGGGGCTCCGTACTTAGGGAGGTGTAGGTAATAAACTGAAATGAGGGGGTGGTGACCATCGAGGGGTACCGAGAGGTTTGCGGAATACAGGGGCTCCGAGGTTGGTGAGGGGGGAGCGGAGTTAGAACGGAGGGGTCGGAGAGCACGGAAGTCGATGGCTGGGGATGGATATGACATGAATGTTAATTAACTATGCTACAGTTGATGACAAAATTAAGCAAATACTTTTAGCTTGAGCAATGGGCATGGAAGCACCAGTATCATCACCGCTTATATGATCGTTGTTGTTGTTGTTGTTGTTGTTGCTGTGACTGGGATAAGAGCGACCTATCCACATCAGTGGAGCCAATGTTAGCTATATCTAAGGGAAAGGCCAATATCACACTTACGCTTAAGGGGCTGGATGAAGTCTATGTGATTGCAGGGTGCAGGATTAAATTGAGAACAGGGTAATTCTGCTCACCTTCATCAGTAATAGGATCGTTGGTGTAGTTATCCTCAGAGGTCACAAGCAAGCGAATCCTATCTAATCACAGTGGGTATTATGAATCATAATACTTGTGCCATGGTGATTTTTTGGTATCATAAAAAAGAGAAAGATCACACCTTTCCAACGGTGAAACGGGAATGGAAGTCCGGTAAACGGTTCAGGAGTTATGGCCAATTCATTGTCGTGCCCAGTCGTGCCCTAGTCGTGCCCTATTGTGCCATTGGCCAGTACTCGGCCAGTTCTCAATATTATGAAATATAAACGAGTGTCCAAAGGCCGTATGGATCTCCTCTACAAGATGCAAAAAACCCCAAGCGAATAGCTGCCACGGTTACTGAGTTATTGAGGAAACAAAGTTGTGCCCTGAGTTTTAGTGTTTGAGCTCAAGTTGAGAATCGATTCATTTGGGGTGTATAGCATATCAAAAGGTAGGTATTGAAAATCTATACACGATGCAGAAAACCCTGAGTGAAACGGGTCACTGGTTGTGAAGTTATTCAAGCAATAAAGTCCAAACATGGGACCATGGGCACAAGTGGAGGGCACAAGTGTGTTTATTGAATAGCTCGAGAACTAGAGCAGCTATTGACTCAGGGTCTTTTGCATCCGGTGAAGATTATCAATACGGCCTTTGGAACATCAACAAGGCCTGATAATACAGAGAGAAAACAGCAATGGCACAAGTAGGGCACGATTGACTTGTGCTCAATCGTGCCATTATAGGTTAAAAACACCCACTGGTTCGGGTTGGGGGGGACCCTCAGGGCCCTCTCAAAATCCCCCCTATCGTACACAACTTTGAACTATTGAAATGACAGAAGCCAAACCAAACAACATGTATCATTGGATTTCACCATGTTTGATTTGCAATCATTTGAGTGACATGGTATCTCAATCACACATCAAAAGACAACATGATAATAATTGCGTGCAAGATTTGATCATGGGTCAATGTACAATTATGTGTTATATGTAATGGTGTTGATATACTTGAGGGATGTTGTATTATTGAGCACGCGTGAAAAGACGACATCATAATTTTCTGCCAAATTTGATGATGGGTCAATATACAATTGTTATATAACGGTGTTGGTATGTTTGAGGGATGTTGTATTCCCAAGCGCACGTGAAAAGACGACATGATAATTTTCTGCAAGATTTGATGATGGGTCAATATACATTGTTATATACCGGTGTTGGTATATTTGAGGGGATGTTGTATTCCCAAGCGCGCGTGAAAATACAACATGATAATAAATAATTTTCTGCAAGATTTGATGATGGGTCAATATACAATGTTATATCATGGTGTTGGTATATTTAAGGGACGTTGTATTCCCAAGCGCGCATGAAAAGACGATATTATTTCCTACAGAACCTGGCAACGTTTCCTAGGACGAGCACTCAGCCCAGGATTCTCTGCTTCATCTTCTGATGACTCAGAATCAGCACGGAGGGATGCCTCTGAAGCTTTGTGTGCCAAAGAAGTGGAGGGCACTCGCTCCTTCATGGGTGGTACTCGGAAAGACTCCACAATGTGAAGGGAACGGCACTCATCACCCAAGAAATATCGCACTGCACAGAACACAGGGCACATGTGTGGAGGTTGGGCTAGGTGCTTGGAAATGGTCGCAAGCCTAGACTCCAATACCTCCTTTGGATGGCGCCTCCAGTCCATCTGATAGCGACTTCCAGGCTTGAATGCATTAGGTTTGCAGGCCTCTACCAGGTGGAGTCGGGCAAGGACAGCAATGGTGACCCCTTTCCTCTCTATAATAATAATATTATTATCATCATAATTGTGATACAGATAGCTTCAGGAAGCACTAACGGAGCTTGGTGTTGAACGTGGTCATCATCTCCGCATTTTTTCCTTGCTCAGCAGTACGGGAGGCCAGTTTGATGGACTGAGTTCAGGCCTTCTGTTCGTGTCTCCGCCACCAAGGACTGTCCTCCACCAAAATACCGCAAATGTATATCAACCAGAGGTGGAAGAGTGGTGGCTTTGCTTTCCACCCTGATTGAGTCTTCCCATATTCACGGTCCCATACAAGGCTGTTGGCATATTCAACCATGTTTGCACCCTTTGCCCGTTCCACTGGAATCTTCTCTTCATTGTGTTTGACCCGATGGAAGGGAGCCCATGCAGTGAGGATGAATGCAGCAATGAGGCTGATGTGGAATCTTGCATCCGACATATCATAGCTCTCGGTGACCCAATTTGTGAGCTCCTGAGACATCGGGTCCTTCAAGATGTCTTGCTGGATCCAGTCAAGTGGAAGTCGAGAACGTTTGATGACCCATGTAAGGTCACCAAGCCTTGCATCAATCCAGTGCCATGATGCCTGTGGGTTTCCCTCTGTAATCTGGGTGCTGGCAATGGAGGCTGCAAGGCAATCTGGATCAGACATGGTTCCCAGATCAGGTCGTCTTGCATTCCTGCTGGGGTATATCAAGTCCGCCCATGAATCATACTGTGCCCATTGACTTGACCTCCCTGTGGGAAACATGGTGGAATGTGGATATCGATACATCCGTCTTGAATCCATCTGAAAGACAACAGCCTCAATGCAGAACTCCTGTTGCCCTTGTGAGGATGATGTGTGTGGGCAAAGGTCTCGCAATGCCTGGAAGACTTGAGTGCAGACTTCCGCAGCAGACCCTTGTCGAAAGAAGGGTGCTCCAAGGCCCTTCCTTGTTGATGATGATTTTTGAACAAGGTCAGGCGGTGTGACCATTGCATACAAGCCACGGACCCATTCATAGACATCAATGCGGGGCAGGTTCTTCAAAATTGAGTGTATGGCTTGAGAGGAGGTGGCGAGTGTGAGAATCTGGCACTCTGTGGCCACTTTAGAATTGTCAAAGGGGTGTGCCCTGGACAAGAGTTCCTTGAGTGCATCAGCTTGGATATTGAGGCGACGTCGGTCATCTCGGTCTGCAGTTGCATAGCTTGCATTCAGGGATTTCTTGATTCCCTTCTCAATTTCATAGAGGGCATCTGTCTCAAGCGTTTCAACCACATAACTGGCTAGTGACTGAAGGATTTTCTCCTCCCTTGGGAGGGAGGTGGGGAGATGTTCGGTGGTGTGAAGACCAAGGCGGATATGCTCAATGAAGCAGGTGGCTTTCATACGCTGTGAGTGAAAGTGAAGGGGTGGGTCAGTACTCGGCAATGGAAATTCATGCATGATTGAAAAAGTGGGTTATTATCGTAGTTCCATTCGCGCATGGAATGACAACAACTTCTCTGTGGTGAATTTTTAGAAAAGCAGTTGTACTTCCATGCGAGCACAGAACTACGACAATAATTTCCCTACAGAGACTTAAGAGAAAGGTTGTACTCCCATGCGAGCACAGAACTACGACATTAATTTCCTCCAGAGACTTAAGAGAAAGGTCGTACTCCCATGCGCACACAGAAGAACGACTATCCCAAGGATTAAAACAAATAAACACTCACATCATATGTGGCCTGAGAGTAGTTGTACAGAACAACACGCTTTGATGCGAAGCGTGGGACTCCTGCAGCATCTTTTGGCCATCTGGATGCATCGACATCAATCTTTTCCATTCGTTCAAGGTGGATCCCCACCATGTCACTCAGACATGGGAATCCAGTTTCCTTGATTCCGACAGAAAGCAAAAGAGGGTCCATCACATATGTGGACAGCACCCTTCCTGCACCACAGAACCCAAAGCTACCAGCTCGTTCCAGTGCTGAAAGCAGCTCTCGCAGCAGCAAGTTTGCTGGACGTCCCTCTCTCTTGCGTTGGACTTCAGATTGGTAGATGTGATCTATGGCCCAGAAGAGAGGGTATGTGGTCCAAAGATATGTCCGCTGAAGGACCTAAATCATCCCCATTCCCACCATATTAGACACGTCAAAGCTGATCATGACCAACACATACCTCAGGTTTGAAGATGACCAAATTGCGCCTGAGTTTGTCTACCAATTCCGGATCAACCCATGTGTCCACAAGGGGGGTGAGAATCTTCTCGAAAACAGCTCTGGAGATCAACCATCAATACAAAGTACAAAACTTCCAATATATCATTCTGACCTTCCAGTCCGTTTCTCCTGTGCAATTCCAGAAAAGTTGATGGTCCAATAATTCTCCAGTCGGAGATCAGTTGGTGGTTGCAAGTCAGGATCATTGGATGTGAGTTTGTGCTTCATTCGGTCAAATGGCATCCCCCGCTCCACATAGGAGGTTGGGTTATAGGATGCTTTTTGGACTGGGATGCTCATTGGATGCTCGACCTTGGGGGTCAGACTTTGGAGGTGCTGATGTTGATTGGAGGTCTTACACAGCAAAGTGCTGACACTGTTGGCACTTTCTGGACCAGGTCTAACTGCACTACCACCCACTATGGAGGTCCACTGGGCAAAGTGCTGACAGTGTCAGCACTTTCTGGACCAGGTCTGACTACACCGCCACCCACTATGGAGGTCCACTGGACAAAGTGCTGACACTGTCAGCACTTTCTGGACCAGGTCTGACTGCACTGCCTCCCACTATGGAGGTCCTCTGAGCAAAGTGCTGACAGGTCGGCACTTTCTGGATGAGGTTTGACTGCACTGCCTCCCACTATGGAGGTCCTCTGACAAAGTGCTGACACTGTCGGCACTTTCTGGACCAGGTTTGACTGCACTGCCACCCTCCATGAAGGTCCTCTGGGCAAAGTGCTGACACTGTCGGCACTTTCTGGACCAGGTCTGACTGCACTGCCACCCACTATGGAAGTCCTCTGGACAAAGTGCTGACACTGTCAGCACTTTCTGGACCAGGTCTGACTGCACTGCCACCCACTATGGAGGTCCTCTGGACAAAGTGCCGACAGTGTCGGCACTTTCTGAACCAGGTCTGGCTGCACTGCCACCCACCATGGAGGTCCTCTGGACAAAGTGCTGACAGTGTCGGCACTTTCTGAACCAGGTTTGACTGCACTGCCACCCAACATGGAGGTCCACATGGACAAGTGCCGACACTGTCAGCACTTTCTGGACCAGGTCTGACTGCACTGCCACCCACTATGGAAGTCCTCTGGACAAAGTGCTGACACTGTTGGCACTTTCTGGACCAGGTCTGACTGCACTGCCACCCAATATGGAGGTCCTCTGGACAAAGTGCTGACACTGTCAGCACTTTCTGGACCAGGTCTGACTGCACTGCCACCCAATATGGAAGTCCTCTGGGCAAAGTGCTGACACTGTCGGCACTTTCTTGACCAGGTCCGATTGCACTGCCACCCAATATGGAGGTCCTCTTGGACAAGTGCCAATGCTATCATCACTCTCAGGACTGGCACATGTTAGTTTCCATATTGGGCCACTTTCACAGTATTTTCACCATATCTCCCCCAGTTCTTCTCCGATCCAGATGGATCTAGTATCGTTGGAAAGCTATTGTCAAGGCGAGTCCAACGAGTCCAAGCTTAGGAGATTTAGTACAGCCCTTGTGGAGATGGTCATATTCTATCCATTGTGTTGCTACTCCCATATATCTTTTATGTTGTTCTTGTAATAACTGTGCAACGCGATACTTGTATTGGTAAAGTATCGGCTGCCAGGGTTGGGTTGGGTTTGGCACAGGGCAGTTACAGAGCTTTATCCTCAAGTGCCCAACATTTGATCACAAGCCCACACAGAACAGTCCAATCATCGGTGAGGTTACAGGACACTCCGATCACAGTAAGCAGGGTGGCATAATACATCAGCACATCATCTGCAGTGCATTTCGATTTTCCCTTCAGCAACATCGGGTTTCTACCAACTCTTCCCTCAACATGACGTCCTGGCCTTTCCTACTTTGACAACATTGGGTTGCTACATCAACCCTTCCCCTCAACCCGACATCCATACATCTCACTTTCTCCACTGTGGTGTCAACAGGCACAGGTGACATGGGTACAGCGACTCGACAACGAGGGGGGAATGGCAAGAGGGACGGTGGAACAATGGGCAGTGACAGTGCTGACACACAGACAGTGGACAGTGGAAACGGCAGGGGGGACAGTGCAGAGAATGGCACAGACAGCGCTTGAGCAACACAGCAATACTTTCCCTTGCTCAAAGTGCCTATAGCGTACAGTGAGTACAGCCCACAGTGACAGCGCTATTACAGTGCATAAACAGGTCTAGATGACTAGATGACAACAGCACAGCGGTGCTTATCGTCAATGGGCCTCCTCAAACACAGGGCAATCATACAGCAAGTATGACACAGATACTAGCAGGGTGATGGCCAACAGCACTGGCACAGTGTGCATGACCATGGGGATGTGCAGGGTTTTTCAAAGCTTCAACAGCCACTGTACACACTCACAGCAATGTAGGCATGACACGTTGATTGCACACAATTCACAGACATGGGGCATAGAAGTGCAAGCAGCATGTGTCAAATGGTCGCAGGCAGCCTCAGCATGGATGCACAGCGCATTGAGGGGGGTGGGCAGCAACACTGGAAATGGCAGTGGTAATGTGGGGAATGGGGAGCAGGGAACAGTGGTGGCAGCAACAATGGCTGCGCTTTGAGCACTCGATCAGCTCATAATCTCCCTCCCTTGCTCAAAGTGCCTGTTGGTCCCAAGTGCTCAGCTTTCGCAGTGATGGAGCATATGGAGCGCCTGTATGTCAGCAATGGCAGCGCTTGTCAATAGCACACAGAGAACATGGGGATCGGTGGCACAGTCAACCCCATACAGGCAGTGGCAGTAGCGCGCGGTCAGCATGCTGAAGTTTCACTAACCTCAAGCACCCCAACTGCTAAACAAACAGCAAGTGTGACTAAGCATAAGAAACAGAACACGGAAATGTCTCATCTGTGGGTTTTTACTGAACCCTCAAACAGCACGGGAATGTCTCATCTGCAGGCATCATGGGCAGTGCTTAACAACAGTGTGCAGATGGGGTAGGCAGCGGTTGCATTATCAGATGTGGTCCAGAAGGTATTGTGGGTGAGAATGTTCGCATCAGGAGGCACTTCGGATGTGATCTAGGGGGGTGGTTCGGTTCTGAATGTCACAACGGGAAGTCCTTCGTTTGCTTCGCTCATAACTCCTGAAGTAGTGAGCCGTTCACCTCTACGCTCAGTAAGTAGATAGCCCTAATCTTCCTCTATCGGACAAGCGCAAAATCGTGTCTGAGCGATTCCTAGATGGCGCTCACATCAAGGTTTACTTCTGATCATTAAAAATACATGTTCTTGATGACGATCTCCCCGACTTCTTCACCAATCCCAGCGTTATAGGGCTTGTTACAATCCTGTGATCAACCCGTTCTCTTATTAGGGAAAAACGCCATTTGGTAGTGGTGCATGGCAGGGTGTGCAGGAGCAGGACAACTTCAGTAGCGCAAGTGACAGCGCGCAGGCAGTTGCGGCAACAGGGATGGGACATGGTTGGCAAGGAGCAGAGCGGGTAGTACACATGCAGTACTAGGTCGAATGTCAATGGAAATAGTTCAAGCATCCCAACAACAACATCGATGGCTAATCCACATCAGCAACACATCATTGCATGGATGATCAGGCACCAGACACATCGCATTGGTCAGCGAAGTCAGCTAGGATGTATTGATGGCAGAGCATGTGTGGCAGCCACCAGTCATGGATGTGGCGACAATGATGGTCAGGTGAGCAGTAGGGCAAGGGGGGGTTCATCTCAGCATGGCAAGGCAGCCCAAGTGCTGGGTACATTGGATCGCAAGCAGCCACCCCTGCACAGGTGGGTGCGGTGCATCATGAGGACAATTCAGGGATCATGTAGGATGGAGTGGAAGGGTCCAATGACAGGGCGGTTCCAATGGCAGGGCAGTTCCAGCAGCAGGATGGCCAAAGAGTGGCGGTGGCAAACAAGCAGGAGATGGTGATGTCGGAGTGGGGTCAGTCGGCACATAACAGCAACGGCTGCACTCAGTGGACATGGAGGTCAATGGCAACACCAGGAACAGCTGCACTTTGAGCACTTGATCAGCTCACAATCTGCCTCCCTTGCTCAAAGCGCCCAGACATAACGTGCTCGGCAGCAGCAGGGCGAGGGGGATGGCAATGGCAATGACGGTATAAGCAGTTGGGGGGCATCAAGTGCAGCAACAGTAACGGTGTGTCAGATGGTGGCAAAGGGGGTGAACATGGGGGGCGATGAGATAGGCACCCAGAGTCATTGTTTACTTCGTTAATAACTCCTGCAATAATGCATCACTCTCCTCCAAACTCGTCATGCAGATAAGCCCGATTCTCCTTTATCGAAAGAGCCCAAGATCAAGTGATTTGTAGGTGGCGCTGGCATCGAGTTTTTAGTTGAATCTTCCAAAATGCATCCTTTTGCGTCGATCTCCTTCAGTCTTTCATCAATCCTGACATTCAAGAGGTTGTTCGAATCCTACAAAAAACCTCTGCAACTTCTCTTATTTTGCCAAATCGTGATTCCTACTCATTGGCATAGAATGTGCGTCGGGAAGGTTGGAGATGGGCAAGTGCCAACAGGCACTTTCAGGGCATTCAGGAGGGGGGGATGACAGGGCAGTTGTGCCCAAGCAGTGGACAGGTGGGTTGGATCACAAGCAGCTGCAGCAGGTGCACTACTCTGTGAGGTCCGTGTCGTGGGGCGGCATGGCAGCCTTCATTGTCACGAAGCAGTGATGTTGAACAAAACACATGTCAACATCGGTACAAATAGCAGGCATGTGGGCAGTGGAGATAGCGAAAGAACAGCGCAAGCACAGCAGAAAACATTCAAAGAGCAGTAGTGTCAAACGAGCGGTGGAGTTGACTGGGGGTTATAATCGCAGTGTTATAACTTATAATTGCGGCATTACAGCCACATGTAGAAACCCATATTTGACAGGATTCCATCAAATTTTGTATTGTGGGTCAAGGGAGTAAGGGAAACAGGGTGGGACTCACATGAGGCATTGCAGTGTAGGATCTCACAAATCCAATGCACCTTAGTTGGATTTGGTCAAGAAATGAGGGAGAGCATCCACAATAAAGATTGTGTCTCATGCCTGCCAAAATGTGTATTGCCTGCATTCTGCCATGTCAGGGGCTTGACATCCATGTGAAGATAGTTAATTACATGTAGTATCAAGCCAAATCAGTCTTCCATGCCCTCATCTTGTAGGATGGGAGATTTCCACACCCCCCTCCTAATCAGATTCCCATCCCACATAGCCTTGTCATCCACCAAGGGATTGAGAATGAGCACAGGGAGCCTTGTTCCAGCCCTGTCAGCAGGGAAAGTGTCTGAACTCCGAGGGTTGGCTGTAGTGTACCACATTCGTGAAAGATCTGAATATGGTACCCAAACGAGTTTGGAGTATACTGTCTCCCAAATTTTCTCTCTGATACGATTACCACCAGTACGGTCAAACTTTATGATGAATTCCCACCAAGAGACGTGAAATGGATGCCTCTTCCATCCTTTGCCCCCATCTTTGAACTGAATACGCCCCCCCTGTCTCCTGTCCCGATTGTATTTGCCCTGCATTCTTGGTGGTTCCCATTGGAGGTCTGGAGGTGGGAAAGTGAGTTGGAATGCAACATGAAACTCAGAAGGGTTGCACCTTCGGAGGTGAGCTCCAATGAAACCACTTTTATGCAGATCTGGTTCCACAAAGTACTCCATACCAGGATGATCGATAGGGTTGTCTGGATCACGGACGATGTGATAGAACACATCAGAAGATGGGGTCTGTGGTACTGGGATGGTCTGCAGGACGTTGGAATAGAAATACTGGATAATCTGGTGGAGAGACTTTGTGTAAATTATTGAGGTGGTCCCTTGAACAAGCTGAGGCACAGAATGGTGGTCTTCAACAGAGTAGGCAGTCCTCAGGTGCTTGATATGGTGCTTCTTGAGTTTGACATGAAGATCGGCTGGAAGCTCATGTTCTGGTTCGAGTACAGGGGGGGCTTCTGTACGGTGAGGTCTGGGGAGACGGAAAGGGGCTCTTACTGCAGTGTAGAGGGTGGCTGAGAGCAGTGTTTTGATCTCCTCGACAGAATAGCCCAGGAGGTGGTTAAAATGGTCCTCATCCAGTGGCCACCGTCGTACCAGTCCAAGTGTGGTATGTGCCCTGAATGAAGGGGCGATTCGCCCACGATTGGAGGGGCCACCATAACTGATGTCCCTGAACCAGAGAACATTTCCAGGTGCAAATGGGCAACATTGTTCACCCTCAGCCTGGTCTCTGTGAGGGTTTCTGTCACGTCCATCCAGGACATCTGGGTGTAAGAAGTTATCGGTCACTGGGAGGGAAGCACACATGAGTGCATGCTCTGAGGAGCCTGTGGCAGGCCTGCTGTTGAGCATGTTGATGCACCATAGGAGTGCTGCAGTGAGCTCCAATGCATAAGGCTGCACCCTGGACTTGGGGGTGGCATTCTGCTGAGCTTCTATGAGCTGACGACATGCACGGGCAGTCAGGAGTTTGAACAACCTAGGTTGAATGGTTAACCACAGTGCAGATATAATTTAACCTTTGTTGACTTACCACCACCATCGAGCAGGTACAGAGATGGTGCATTCCTCGATAAACTCCCTGGTTATGCCCCTCCTCAATGCATTCCTTGCTTTCCCCAGTGGCACACAAATCTCCATTCTGGCTGTTCCCTCTGTGCACTCCTCGTTGGCTAAACTCCACACTTGATCCAGGTTATCGAATTCTCGCTGGAGTTTCTTTTGGTTCTTTTCCAGGAGGACGTTTTTCTTGCTAATCTCCAGCATGGGATGGAATTTGTCTGCCCTTCTGGCCACTGCCTTCTCAGAAGCATACCACTGTGCATAAACAGGCAACCGTGCACGATGGGGTAATGCACAACGGCCACCAGCCAAAGATAGGATGCCTGCTTGAACATCACAAAAGTACCCTTCTCGTCCTGGTGTGGTCCCCTTTCAACCTCTCCCTGATACCCATGGGCAAGAACCTGAAGGACATCGTGATGCTTGGATGCATCCCAGTGGAGGACGGATTCCCTCCTGTGGATTTCCAGCCCCACATCCACCCATGTGCTTCTCTGCTCCTCTGCTGATAATTCATGGTTGAAGAGCCCAAGGATTTGTGTCCATGCTGTCTCTTCTTCAGGAGAATGGGCATGGGCATCCTCGAAGGGAATTGGATGTGTGGTGCTAAGTTTTATGCCCTTGATCTCCAAGCCAAAGAAAAAGCTGTGTGCCCATTTAAGCCTTTCTGCCTTTATCTGGAGGCAGTGCCTCATCTGGAGGACCAAGTCATGAAGGAGAGATGAGGCAAAGAGTCGTTTTCCACCAACCACCTTCCCATCCTTAGTGCGGGAAAGGATACCATCTAGTAGGCGGTAGGGGGGATATGAAGGGGCAGAATGGGGGATTATGTGAATGATGGCAGGACGCAAGACTTCATCATAAAACTCGGCAATATGCACCTCATCCACCCGGTTGTTGACCATGTTTGTCAGGTATGGAAAAAACATCCTGATAAGGCCATTGTTGGAATATCTTCCTAGGCAGTAGTTTGGTATTTTATTTGCCTCTGTTGCATGGGGCCCCACAGTACAATCCTAGATAACAGTCAATCGCAAGAGACATGTATATGAAACTCAGGCTTACAATGGAAAAGAGGTGTTCAGGAATTTTCACATGGAGGCTGCTTGAACTTGGCAGGACATCCATTGGACGAGGAACCAGGCCAAATTCCACACTTTCAAACAGTGGCAACCGAGCATAGAATCCAATGAGAGAGTCATAGTCTCTGTGAAGAGAGACATCATCTGTGCCTAGTCTGGTTCTCATGTTCGAAGTATTGAGCCTCAAGTAACAGCCCCTTTCATCCTTGCCTTCTAAAAGAAGTTGCTCAAATCCTTCATGCAAGACCCCAGCAGTTTTGCCTCTCTCCAGTCGGAAAGCCGTTCTGACATATGTTGAGAAGTCAATGTCTAAGAGATCTTCAGGGTCAAAGTCTGATGGGGTTGTTTCCCTGGAGTCCATTAGCACTGTCGTCAGGTGAGGAGAAAAAGTGATGGAGAAAAAGTGATCGGCAACTCCCATTGGCCATCATAACCACCAGGATACAGCTGTCCCCACTGCAACTTTTGCTTTGGGATTACACACCAGCATCAGGTTATAGGTACAGATTGTAGAAAGCGCCCTGAGGAAGCACACCCTGAGGAAGCACACAAAGAAGCGCCATTCACCAAAATTAAATGCAATGCATCACCCCTTGTGACACATTTTCAATATCTTGTTTCTTCCCGATCTCCATCAAGACTCAATGAAACCGCTCAGAGTAGGGATCAATGTACTTGTAGAATTAAAGTGCACATCTTTATTAACAATGTATAACATTTGTATTGACATTTTGTAGTTCATAGTCCCTGGAAGTGTTCTACTGTATTGTTCGGGTCTGGGACCTCCATGATCTTGGAGGTGTATCTAGGAGATCTGTTGTCATCATTGCTATATATCCATGATGCTTGGGCTGCAGTCTAGTCCCATGTGCCATAGGGCTTCGTTGTTGATCCGGATTTTCTGTAACTGTGCATGAGTAACTTATTCATACCAAATTCGGTCCAGTACTTGGGGGCATAAGAATTTACCAGGAATGAACAGTTCCAGTAACAACACTGGGTGGGATGAGTGGAGGTGATTTGGTAAGTGTGGGCCATGAATTGATGGCACAGAGGAGAAACAATAACACAGTGCATAATGGGTGACACCGTTTTGTAACACTGTGTGTGACACTTGTTTGTGTCACACAATGTGGTACATGAAAGTAACAGAATCGTGACCACAAGCTGAAACAAGTCACCAGGGAGAATCTGCCCTAGCCCTGACCGTCCTGTCCAAAGCAAAGTGAGGAACGTAAACAAAGAGATGAAATTCAACAGTACAGATGGAGTAACTACAAATCAGAGGTTCATTCAGAGAACAACAAAAGATAAGGTGGAGAGGGGAGGAGATGGGAAGTGCAAAAAAGGCAGAGATTACTGTGCAGGTGTGGACAAAGTTGCAGCCAAGAGGGCGGCAGGAGTGGCAGTGATGGTTCACCAGTAAAAGTTTGGGAAAGAGCAGCAGGAGGACGTACTCACCGAGAGAGACATGAGTTCAGTTGACAGGGAAGACGGTTGATGCAAGCACCCTTTTATATGCATAGCCTGAACTAGTCGTGAGCACTCTCATGGTGATGGAGGTTCAGTACACACCTCTGGTGTGGTCTGTTCCATGCATCCATGCCAAAACACCCAGCAAACGACTGAGGCATAAAACCAGGACCCATCAAGTGGCAAAGACTGTGGTGCTAAGACAGGTGCGGCAGAGTAGGGTTATAGGGTGATTTTTTGGACTTGGATGCTTGACCTTTGGGATGTTGGGAGTTGGAGTGGGGACTGGATGCTGGACTCTGGAGGCTGGCGTGCTGGCGCGCTGGTGTGCTGGGATGCTGGGAGGCTGGAGGCTGGATGGATGCTGGGTCTGACTGCCACCTACTATGGAGGCTCTCAAGGAGAAGTGCTGACACTGTCGGCACTTTGGATGCTGGCTCTGGCTGCACTGCTGCTGCACTGCCACTCACTATGCAGCCTCCCATGCAGAAGTGCTGACACTGTCGGCACTTTGGATGCTGGCTCTAGCTGTACTGCCACTGCACTGCCACCTACTATAGAGGCTCTCATGGAGAAGTGCTGACACTGTCGGCACTTTGGATGCTGGCTCTGGCTGCACTGCTGCTGCACTGTCGGCACTCTGGATGCTGGCTCTGACTGCACTGCCACTGCACTGCCACTCAATATGCAGCCTCTCAAGGAGAAGTGCTGACAGTGTCGGCACTCTGAACACTAGGATTGCTAGGGTTGGGTAGGGTTGCACTGCCACCTACTATGAAGATCTCAAGCAAAAGTGCTGACACTGTCGGCACTTTGGATGCTGGCTCTGGCTGTACTGCCACTGCACTGCCACTCACTATGCAGCCTCTCATGGAGAAGTGCTGACACTGTCGGCACTTTGGATGCTGGCTCTGACTCCACTGCCACTGCACTCCCACTCAATATGCAGCCTCTCATGCAGAAGTGCTGACACTGTCGGCACTTTGATGCTGGCTCTGGCTGTACTACCACTGCACTCCCACTCACTACAAGCAAAGGTGCTGACACTGTTGCTACTCTGTACACTAAGTCTGACCTCACTGCCACTGCACTGCCAAATCTTCGCTCTCTCCTCAGTACCAAATTACTCTCAGGGCATGCAAATGGCTCAATAGGCAGCCCCAAATAACAAGTGTCCAATTAGGCACAGAGAGGTAAATATGAATGAATGGGGGAAATTATCATAGTGGATCAACAATTTAGCAAGTAACTAGAATCGCTGCTGTGCCCCCTTGTGATGGGAATTTTTGTATCCAACTAAATCAAATAATGGAAATATTGAGTAGCGTTGTAGGAGAAATAACATATGAAGCTATATTATCAACTGGGGAGTAAAGGCTAAAGAGCCAGTCTGCCCTCCATGCTACTTTATATACATATGTACAAGTGTATGCCGGAGTGTCAGGAACATGTCGGACGCATATCCGGATGATCTGCAAAGTGTGCAAAGTCGTCCAGGCTCGTAAGGTCGGAGGGGTGGGACTTCAGCTTCAGCGACTCAGGTGGAGCGCGCTGCACTTCGTTCTTACGTTGTTGTCCCAATTTCAGACAGAAGCCTTACGATGTAGAGAAGAGACTAGGGGGGGAAATCCAAGTCAATATACGAACTGAGGTACATCCGGTGTAACCTACACGCGTTATAAGCACAAGTAACTAAATGGGCTGGCCCGGAAGGAGTGGCGGATCAAGTGCCATATTAATGAATGAAGAAAGAGACAAATAGTTAATATCCACAAACTTGGTCAACAAAAGGCAAGCAAGAACAACAAGTGGCAAAGGAGGAACAATAGTCTGCAAGTGAACAAAAGAGAAAAGGTCATCCAGCCGTCTAGCAAGCTGGCTGGTTGGTGGGTGGACAACAAAGAACCACTTGAGCAGGCAACCTTGGTTGGGAGGTATGCGCGCAGGGGAGGAAGTGTGGATGACGGTGACGGGTGGACAGACGGATGGATGGACGGATGATGATGTTAGCGGGCAGGACGGGCCAAGTGGCACTAGGGCGTGTTGATGGATGTGACGGATGTGTCGGGTCATGACATGGAGTTGGCAAATGCATGTGGCTTGGTAAATAGTAAACAAGCACGCTTTTGCGTGCTATCTCAGCAAGATATAAATGGAATAAAATGGGAAAGCATGTGCAGCCTTCTCAGGCCTTACAGGGATCGACTAAAGTCAACTTAAATAAAAGAATTATCTCTCAGAAAGCCTGAGTGACAGATCCAGCAAAGGAATCACAGTAAATTCACAGAAAAGTTCCAGCAAGAGAAAAGCTCTGCAGGGGTTCTGTTTCCTAGTAATTCTAACATCCTGAGTTTCAAAGACTAATGTACAACAAGGAGAATTAGCCAAAACACTCAGGCAGGCACAAAGATCTCAAGTGCACATCCCCAAATGAACAACGATCCCAGAGTTTGTCACTCTCGCAACAATTTCTTATTTGATCACCCCAAGAACACCAAGAAGGGAAGCAACAGGAATGCTGGATGTCGGTGTTCCTCTCTTATCATGAGAGTGTGTATTTATCTTGGATAGATCTCGTAATGCCCAGGCTAAATGTAGAGAATGCCAAAGAGAAACCGATTCTTCCATAAAAGCATGGCTTTGCAGGGACGACCAAAGCAATCAAATGAGAAGGTGAGTGCAAGAGACCAAGTAGCAAGGTGACATTGCTGGAGGTGGGAAAAATGCCCAGGAATTCCGGACTCGAAAGTGACCTTGCAAGGTAACTCCTCTATGGCGCTCTCCTCGCCTACCATCATAATTCTCCTCGTTTCCAGCTTTCCAATGATACCTCATTCATCCCAATTGGTCCAGTAGTTCATGAGATATTCATTGACAGGTGCTGTCGAGAGCACGTGAGGTTCAACACCATGTCGAACCATCCATATACTAAGGCTCTGTTCGGTAGAAAGAAACCTGTTTCTTTTTGTGTCTTCATTCAAAAGGTGACTGATTCTTTCTTGTTTCTTCTGCCACTTTCGTCAAGAAACGAGAAGAAACTGACGAGTGTTCGGCATGCCAGTTTCGTTGTCATTTCTTGCTACAGCTTTTTTCTTATAAACCTCACACATGTAAATTAAGCGTGAATTATTGTTGCAAGTATGGATGCTGATTGTCACGGCCCCGCAAAGTCCCCGCCCCTCTACCACTTTCTGCACCCCCACCCTCACGCCGTTACTCGCGCCCGTTAATCTCGCCATTGCCCATCACTTAGCGGCGCCGATAGTGGTTCCCGCTCTACGGCCCCGTAGCAACGCCTTCTTCGTTCTCCCGCCACCACTTGGGTTCCTCAGCACTCGGCCGATACCGTTCTACTCTACTCATTCGCTTAACTAACTAGCGGTTGTTATGGTCGCCGTGATCCGCTCCTTATTGACTTTCCTTTATTGACAATTGATCATTCCTTTATTAATATTTGATTTATACGTATATTGACATTCTGATCCGCGCGCCTATATTGTCGGTCTATCCATTCTGCCTCCCAACTTCGCCCTCTGTTCCATTCTTTTCTTCTGTTCCATTACCCTGGTCCGCATCGCTCTGTTAGTTCTTATCATCTCGCTCCCGTCCCGCGCCGGACCGACCGGTCCCTTCTCTGTTCTCCTTTCTTATTTATACTTGTAGTTTACTGTCGATGTACCCCAGTTTGAATATCGACTAGAATTCCCCCCCTAAGTACTTTCATCTTGAGTTCGCCCCTCAACTTCATCCCGCTTAAGTCAACGTCGCCGCAAGGTCTTTCCCGCTAACGTGAAATACGGGACAGCCTAGAATGCGTGGCGCAACGCTCTGGCAAAGTCGTTGAAGCCGAAGTCCCAACCCCCTCGACGCCTTGCAATGGAGTAGCTC